AACAAATATTGAGAAAACAGATAATCAATCAAATAAATACACAAATAAATGAGTAAATACCTGGTGATCATGTTATTATAAACATCAATACATTGCCGTGTAAATCCACCTGGTGCAGCTAAAATATGAATTTTATGAAAATTTTAGAAAAACAAAATGATAAAGCTATCGTAATGGAAATGATAAAAGTTTATGCAATTTTTTTCGTTTTCTAGCCAAGTTGGCAATTCTTTAAAATACAGTGTTTGAGAAATTTTTAAATTAAGCAAAACTAACCTAAAGAATCTTCGGAATTCAATGATGGAAATAACATTTCATCGACTCCATAACTTAAACTATCAAATTTATCAAGCAAGATTGTTAAATTCAACTGATCAATAACAAATTTCACAAATTCATAACTCAATGATGCTGATGTACTTCCTTTTGCTATTCGTAATTTACGATCATCGTTCTGCTTATCGTCTAAAATTGCATCAATTCATATTGACTACATTTGCCAGTATTATTTAAACAAAATTTTTCAAAAAAATTTAATAGTAAAAAAAAAATTAAAATTATCAAAAACGGTTAGGCAACCATTGAAGAGTGTAAGTGATCGAAATGTCCACGGAGCATCGTTGGGTACACGATCTGCGTTCGGATATCCAACGTTGATATCATTACTACCATTTAGAGCGGTTAATATCTGCACCATCTCTCGATTACTTTTCAATGGGATATCATTATTCTGAAATTTTCAAATGAGAATTTAACTTTTATTACGTTCATTTTTTTTTCCAGTTTTCTGAAATTGTAAAACAAAAGTGGTAAAAAAGTCACGAAATAGCTCAAATATGCATCATTAAAAAGTAATTCAAAAACACGCTAAAGTTTCAAAAAAAAAAAAAAACTATACAAAGTAATATAATTAAAAATAATTATACTAATTGATAAAAAAAAGAATAAACCTGCAATAAGATAGCGTATTTCCAGCCTGGCAATTTTCGCATTACACGTAAACATTCCAGAAAACTACGTGAAGTATTATGCCCAGCGCTATCAACCATATATTCACGTGGCGCTAACAATACATTCGGGAAACATTTTGATAAATTGTGCATTTGCGCATGAAATAACACTGTAGACTTAGCATCTAACGCATAGCAATAGAAATTTTGCGGCGCATACATTAAATTGAGCAAAAGTTCTTGCAAATGAAAATCCTGCAACAATGTAAGTATGTATATTAAAGATGATGAAAGGGTTGAAGGAGGAATATTTGAGTAATTTGCATAAATTACTGGACTGTATGAATTAAGAATGATCGGTCCATTAGGCCATTGCTAACCTTATAAACAATCCTGACAAAAGCAATTGGGAAATTCTTTTCAACATTTGAAAATGGCATTGAAGGATAAAAAGCTCGTTGTCGGACAGCATTACAGGAAGTATCTCGAGATTCATCCACAGTTTTGTTCACCGTTATTATGTACTTAAAAATAAAGTTTTTTTTTTTTAAAAAAAATTTTTTGGTAATATACGATAAATTTGAAAAGTAAGAAAAATGAAATGAATAATTAAAATAATTTCATTTGAATGGAAGTAAATGAGAAATAATTTGTATAAAATAATAAAAGAAAAAGAAAAAGTTTCCAACTTTGCTCATTTGCGGCATTTTTGAATATTTGTAGTTTGTTAATAATTGTTTGCATATTTTATCCTCCAAAACATAGACAGATAGCAAAGGAGGCTAAAATAGCATTATTAGTCAAATGGTTTGATATTTTAGAAATAGAAATTACAGACAGAAGTGAAATTTATTATTATAAATGAAAATTAGAAAAAAAAAACCTTTGGCTTAATTGTTTCAACTCCTTCCAACAATAATTCGTCAATAGTTGCTTTTGCCGTTGTATTGAAATAATTTTTCAATTGAACTAGAAAAAAAAATGATAGCATTGCTTATAATTTGTAAGAATGAATAAAATCATTAAACAAAAAAAAAAAATATGCTCAATCAAAAATATGAAATTTATTTTCATATAAAATAAAAAAAAAAGCAAAATGGGTAAGTATGACTGTTCCAGTCGAAATGAATAAATAAAATTAAAATTTAGCATTTTTATTAAGCAAAATATAACTCAGATTATTAAACGTATCACAGAAAGATATGTGCGCAACTGTTTCATTGAGCTATTAGCATTCAATCAAATTGAGACATAAATGTCAGCTGACAACAAAAAAAAAAAACAGTTGACCTCTGGAAGATAAAAGTAATACTTCAACAAAACAGAAAGAAAAGTAGCATATCCACAACTGTTCCATTGAGCTATCATTCAATCAAACAGACAAAATGTTACAATAAAATTACTAATTGAAATACAGCTAACTTTATTAGAAGAACAGTATTATATTTGATAAAAATATTAATTACTTTGACTAACGTAATTTAAAAATTTCAAAAAATTGAGAGGAAATAAGAAAACAACAAAAAAAAAAGTGCAAACTTTGTTGATTGAAGGATTGCAAAACGTTAACAGTTTCAATGGAATACCGAAATGGGGTAATCCATAGTACAGTTAATAACATTCCGATTATAATAATTGCAAACTCGCGTAGCATTTTCATTCCAATTCATCGATATTCTCATTTGCTAAATTTTCATGATTACCACTCTTAGCATTATTATCAGTTCATATGATTTGAAAATAATTATTTAAATTGAATTAATTTTTTTACTCAATTTCATTTTAAAGGAATGGCATCAGCAATGTTACAAAATTGAGAAAGCATTAAATGTTATCATTATCATTATGATTATTATCAATTCATTGGATAAAATCATTATTTTTGTTACGAATTAATAATGCAAAATTTAGATCATTTTTATGACTAATAAAGGTATTATCTATCAATTTTATTTTATCTTATCAATTCAAGACTTTTTTTTTAAAATTCAATCACTGATTGAATTCGAGTTTCATTTTAAAGTAAGTGTATTCAATCTACTCTCATCGGATCACATCAAATTTTTTATAAAACTATCATGGTGATTTAATGAACTCAAATAATTCATTTGATGTCTTCCGAAAAATTATTTCTGCTCAGACACTCAAACTGAATTTGATTTTTTTAAATCTTTCCTTCTGCAATTCGGAATATATGTTTGGTCTAACTTAGAACATAAATAGTATAGTAATTATAAAAAGGAATATATTCTGATCATTCTTTTTGCTCTCAACCAATCACTGATAGCAATAACAAATGTTCGCGACAACGAATAAAATTAATGATTTAAGTTAAGAATTCGATTATCTGAATTAGAATATTTACAATGAACACGTTATAAATTTGAAGATTTTTGAAATTGTTATATTTTTTTAAAAATAATATCATGAAAAAAAGTTTCGAATCTAAAATGATTAGAAGCAATAAGTGAATTTTGAACTTTTACAAAAAGATTGATTTAAAATTAAATTACTTCAAAAACTATATTAATCTAACATAAATTATTTTCAATATTTTCAAAAACTGAAAACTCAGAGCATATTCTTTTAGTACAGAAAAAAATTAAATTCCAAGATGAAATTACAGCTTCATTCACTCTGCTTGTCATATGGTCAAAGTTCACTTATCAGCTAGCCCATATGTTTCACAGATTGGAAAAGTCTGTTGAATTTTCTTTCTTTGTTTCAAAAAGAATGAAGTGAAAGTGGAACATCTTCTCTTTAGATGATCAACTCAAGAAAAAAAAATTGAAGGCGGTACTGGTAAGGGATAACTGATCATTAATCCACCACCGATCATCAAACAATCAATAAAATGCTTCAAAAAAAAAAATGAAACTTAAAATTATCGCTTATTTTTCTTGTACTGCTACTCCAAATGACCAGTGATAGTCTTAGTATTTTTAATGCAAACTATGTGAAACCGAAATGTTGAAACAAAATTTTTCAGTATAAAATTATGATGATATTGAAGTTTTTTTTTTCTTATTGCAGTCACCAGATTTTAAAAATTGATTTCAAGGTCACATAGAATTTTATGAATAAAACAATCGATGATAAATAGCATTCAGCATACAATTTGTGTGTTTAATTTTTACATCGTACAAAAATTTCACTAATTAAACTTAAAGTTTCATTTTTTGCAAAAAATGATAATGTTTTCTTTTTATTAAAAAAGAGAAAAAAAGGAAGAAATGAAAGCCGATTTGAAATGGCTAAATTTCTGATAGAATAAATTGTATCAAAAAGAAATGATTCGATGAAAATATGTCCGAAAATGGCCTTCAAAATTTCTCAATGAGCCTAATATACCTTTTTTCAATCAATTTGCACTTCATTTTGCAAATTTTTTTCCTCAAGCGAAAAGTAAAAAAAAAAGTATTTAATTGTATCAAAAATAATTGATATGAGTTTTTAGGATAGAATTTAATTGATATGAGTTTCCGGATAGAATTTTTTATTGAAATTAACTGATATATTGAAAATTGAACATAACTGATATGAGCTTTTAGGATAGAATTTACTGAAATTTTCAATAAATTTTAGTGCAAAATGTTCCTTGTAGCTACTTTATCTGTTTTTTTTTTCGCTTCCATTCTTTGATTTTGTAATTAATTTGATAGAGAAATATAAATTATTAATTAACATATTTAGCACTCGTTTATTGATAGTGAAATATTTCGTTTAAGAATAATTTAAATAATCAAACAGATATAGGAAAGTGAGAATATATTAATGAATGAAAAAAAGACATAGGAAGTTGTGTGTAACATCGACATCTGTTAAATTAGTTATTTACTTGCAGAAAATGCACTAACTTAAAACGGTTTAAAAAAATTTCAAATATGAAAACGATTTTTGAAATGTGTGAAACGAAATGGATTATAAATTGATTGACAAATAAATGTTCAAGTTAAAAAGCCACTGAGTTTAGATAAAAGTTGGAAGAAAAGAGCACTAAAGGTTAAAGGATAAGAAAGATGTGATGACAAGAACGATGTTTAATAATTGTTGAAGAAAGAAAAAATAGTGAGGGCCTTTTTATTGTGTGATTGTTTGCTCGACCTTTAACATTCTTCTATGCCTGCCAATAGATCATGCCTGTTAATTCAGTTTCCTTTCCTCTCCAATCAAACCAAAAGAAAGGCATCATTTTACTTTTCTTTTTATCGATCACTCTAATCATTCATAATTGCAGTTATCATTGTTATCAGTTTAACACATTCCTTTAATGTCTTTATTAATTCCTCATATATTTCCAAAAGAGATTAAGCAATTAAGCATCAGTTTTAAGATTGTTCACGGCAACTGTTTTATTCATTCAAATATAAAGTAAAGACTTCAACTTCAAAATGATTGAAAAGTGTATATCAATAGCAAAATTTAATTTATTTGATAACAAACAACGTTATATTGAATATAATTAATTAAGATGAGCTTTTGCATCAATAAAATGAATTCCCAAATAGAACATTTACGTTTAAATAATGTAATAAAAAAAAACACCGTTTAAGCAAAAAAATGTTTGTTAATTAAAAAGTTTATCAGTGTGGTGAACTTCGATATAAATCCGAAATTCAAATATATCTCAACTTTGTTTCCATCCTTTATAGCTGCTTATCATCTTGAGGATAAGAAATTAAATAATATATATAACAAATGCGCATAATAATGTAATTCATTAATCAATAAAATTTAATGAACAAATGAATGGATCACAAAGCAAAAAAAAAAATGTATGAAAATAATTTTTAAACAAGTAGTAAATTTTTTTCTGAAGAAAAAGTTTTTTATTTGACATGAAATTTATTTGGTGCATTTGAAAATAAAAATTATTTGAAACAGATGTTGCTAAATGTTGTACTTAATGGAACAAAAACAGCTATAAAACAATAAACCGTATCATCTTATATCTCATTCAAAATGTTTTTGAAATTCATTTAAAAATTTAAACACTTTTTCGAAAGAAAAGTTTTTTTAAATAGTTTAATAATAATGTGTTGAAAATTTAGCCTGAAAAGAAATCTTTTTTTTTTTCATTAAAAAAACAGACAAACATTTATCTTTTCGATTTTTGTGGAATCCGTTCCTGAAAGTGAAACAGGAAAAGAAAAATTTGTATTCTTTTTCCTGACCAATCAATGCGCATTCAAATTTTATACTGTTCGAAGATGAAAATTCCCGCTAGTGATTTTTTCTCTCGGATGACAATCCGAGAGAAGAGGAATACGAAGGAATAAAAATTTGCAATATTTTTTGTTTTCATCTTCAACGATTTTCTTTTTTTTAATAATATCATCAGTTTTAATTAAAAACAGCAATGTTACTTTTTGAAATCGACCATAACTAAGTTTGTTTCACGAATTCATAATCAAACAAGTTCGGTGGAGAAAGTGCTGACAAATTTCTAACATTAAAAAAAAAAAAATTCTTCCAGATTACATTCATCTGAAACGTCTTCGGTTGCAAAACAAATTTTAATTCCCAATGCGTAAGTTAATTTCTTCGGAATGAATAATGTGAATTTAATTGCATATAACTGATTAATCACGACAATGAACTTGAAAGCTCGTTCTCTAAATGCAGGTTCAAAGGTGATGACTAAAATGAACTTGATATGGTTGACGTGGTATTATCAAACTTCTACTTTCTTTGGAATGCTAAATCATCAGGAATGGTTGTAAACAGGTATTTGTAGTTGATAGCCATAGAATTGACAACTTCTTAAGAGACTGTTTGAAAATCACAAATAGAAATTGAATTGGAGATGAAAGAGAATGTTGTAAGAGTGTGGCCAACAGATCTAATGTAAAAGCTTCAAATGATAACAGTCTGCTAAAACTACAAAAGTATTTTGGGAAAAAAGGAAATACAAATGTATACGGTCAGATATGAAATGACCGGAACTAATCAATGGAAATATGCAAAGCTTTTAAAGATAAAATGCATCAGTTCTCGACAAAAAATAAAAAGAAACGAACGAAATAGCACAGAGGAATAGGCGTAGCAAAGATGGCATTTTTTTCCTCCAGCTTAAAGTCCTATATGGACCAATTTTATTAATTAATAATTAAGATTTGAATAAGAAAATTGCCTTTAGCGACTTACTATTTGAAACTGATCGACAAGTTACGTGCGAATGGATCTCCACTGTTGGGATGCGATTTTGAGACCAATTAAAAGGGTCAAAGTGAAAAAAATGAAAAAAAAAAAAATTGAATGGCAACGTAATCACCGAAAAGTGTGTGCAATGGGCATGTTTCGTTACAAAAAAATTAATTCGAAACTGTATGAAATACAATCTGTTAGGAAGTTTCAATCTGTTTGGAGCAATTTTAACAAATTGAAGAACACATCGATAAATAATTGATCCGAAAGAAAAACGTGAGCTATACATGAAGAAAAGCCTGAACCGATATTGGTATCAAACTCACAAGAAAATAATCTCAGATGATATGTTGCATTCAAAACGAAATGCGTAAAAGATATCACGTTATCACCGCAATATCAAGACATACAACAAAATTTGTAATTCAACAATATCCGTCATCGTTGAAATGAAAACATTTCTGCTTATTCCTCGTCAATAAAATGAGAAGTAGATGGAAGAAAAAAAAAAGTTATCAGGCGTACAATTGATGTCAATTCATATTATTACCGGTTAATCTCATGTTGAGATGTAAATGTAGACGAAACGTGATGAGACGTTGAGAAGAGAAACATTCTTGAAACACCGTTTCGGAAAAATAAAATAAAACAAACATTCATATTAAATAAATAATATTAGTATTTGATAACCGTTAACGAAGCGAAGCAATTTGACTTCTAAATTTTCATCCGGAAAAAGGTCAACCAACATTTAATATCACATCAATTACAACGTGAACAAAATGCTTGTAATTTTTTAGTAGCACAACCGAAATCATCGTGATAAACATATGGATCATCGACTAAAATATATTCACCCGCTCTTACATAATGTTTTATGCGGAATAATACAGATATCCTGGAAGGAAATTTTTCAATCAATAAATCATCATCACATTTTTTACTTTGAAATTTGAGATTACAAAAATCTGATATACATCCAGAAGCACTCTAATATACATTTCAAATTTACGAAATTTCCATTATTTCATAAATCTTCCCGGAAAATATCCCAATATATTTAATTTCATTGCAAATATGAATTATAATTACTTGGAAATGAAACAAACCTACGATTTGTTGAATTTTGCATAATAATCGGTACCGTAACATTTATTTCAAAATACATTATTTCTAATTCTGCTTGTTTATTTTGAATTTTTGGCCAGCTAAATAAATTAAAATTTGAATGAATACAAGTTGAAAAAATGAGCTTCGTTGTATCAGTGCGCAAATATCCATCCAT